TTGACCAATGAAAATGGAAGTTATAATTGTCTAGAACGTTCTTCTAATTATGGCATAATCGGAGATAAGTTGCCTATAAAATATTTGTAATGCTTTAGGACTCAAGTGCACACTATTTTTCCAGTGAATTGCTCATCATTTTTAAATTCTTACTATCAAAGTATTGAGATTCTTTTTATTATACTTTTTTTTTTAATTTTTTTTTGACATATCATTAATCATGTATTTAAGTAAAATTCATTGTATATAAGTAAGTCTTTCTCTCGTTTATGATAAATAATGTCCAAAAAAAAATCAAAAAAAAAATATAATTGAGAAAATCTCAATCCGAAGAGAATGAGCTCTTCACACTATGCCCACGATCTACCAAAGATGCTCCGCGAATTTGAGAGGTGCCATGTTTCCATTAGGTATGACAAGTTGGGCTGGGCTTTTTGGCGATCTCTCTAAAACAACACGAGCAAAAAGAAGGTTCGAGAAGCCCCCATATTATATTTCGTAATTACAACAACAGCTTCTATAAACATTTTGTTTCTAAATCTAATAATTTGTCGGTCACAGAAAAGCCCTCCGAGTCTTTGGTCTCTCGCATCGTGTCCAAACCTGCGGTGCCCCCGGAATCTTCCGAAATAAGAGGAACATCTCTCTCCTGCAGATCGAAAAAAAAAATCCTCTCTCCCCCTCTCTCCCACAGACCCATAATAAGTAACTCTCCATTCCTTTTCGTCTCTTTCGTTGCATAATGGCTCATTACCCAGTCAATCAATCAATTTTCTTGCATTTATTCATGTTTTAATTGTAATATTTCTGGGGTTTTTGATTTGTGTTATATGGTCACTCATTACCAAGTCAATCAATTATTTTTGTTGGTTTTATTCACCTCTCTTAATCTAAAATTACATATTGCTTAATTCTAAGAGTTTTTCACCTGCAACTTTTCTGGGTTTTTTAATTGTAAAATTTCTGGGTTTTTTTTTTTTTTGGATTTGTGTGGGATAAGATAACAGCAAGTAATACATAGTAAAGGGTGTAGAAGAGAGAGAAATGGAAGGTGGTGCTGCTTCAGAGAAACAGAATGCAGCAGGGGAATCAACAACTGCATCGTACACATATTGGGTGAGAGAGGTCACCCAAGATGCTGCCCCTCTTCCAGTTCCTCGGAAGCTAACTCCTCAGGATCTTTCCAGCCATTCCCAGTCTACTAACCACCTCGGTTCTGCCTGGAATAGGGTATCTCTTAACTTCCTCTCTCTAGCTCTTGTATTTTTAAACAAAAAAATTCTTACCACTTACGAAATTTTTTTGGAAAAAAAATTGTATTTGGATTTATGTATGTCATTGTTTCATTATAGGATAGCCTTTTCTTCCGTTAGAGTGTCCTTTGGGTAGAAGAAAACGGCATGCTTTCCAAAATCTCATTTGAATGTGCCTAGTTAACTTCATCATTAAGTATATGTAAAAAGATGGGTTTAAGGTAGATCTATGATGAACGTCTACACATTTTTTTTAACCATATTAATATGCCTATTTATAATTCTTTTCGTTTCTAAGACCGACCATATTATATCTACTATCTCTAGCAACTTGGTCACGTGTCTTCTTCATATCTAAAGAACCATGTGATTAACTTTTTTCCTTTTTAAGTAGGTACATTGCTTCCATGGTTGACATGCATATATCAAGTTTGGTTTTCAAATACCATTGTTCAAATACAACTTTGAAAGTCTCTTAGTTTTGCACAAATGTGCTTTTTGCATTTATCATGAATTTTTTTAACCGAAATGTATCGTGCAATTTCTTGTAGTTATTGCAATCTTATCAAATGGTAAACATATTATGATATTCCATAAACATTTCTAAATCTCTGTAAGTAGCCATAAGGTGCTAAATCTTTTCCTGTCTTTTTTTTTACTATCATAGTATTTCTTTTGAACATTCTAATTGGCTGAAAATATTTATTTGTCTAATCTACCAAGCCTATGGTTAATATGTCAAGTATCTAAACTTGTATGATTTACATTTAACAAGTTTCCAAATTAATTTTATATATTTCTGGAATGTTAATATCTTTTATTCTTTTAAATTCCACCAGCTATGATTTTGATCATATTTGATGCGTATATCTCGAAGCATTGTCCTATGTGATATGATCCAACTCTTTCTTGGAGTAACCCTACAATGCATAGATAAATGATCTATTTTTTTTACTTAGAAAAAATTCTATAGGGCTACTGTTTATCCCATTGTTGTGAGGAGTGCGTTGACGCTAGCCCAGGTCCGAGATAAGTTGAGGCGCACTTGAAGCGCCTTAATGAGCTTGAGGTTAGTCTATTTCGTAGTGGCGTAATCAAGGTACATGAGGTGCTTGCTTTGGGTACATGAGGTGCTTGCTTTGGGCTTAAAGTCGCATGAGGCGTGATTTTTTTTCCCAGTGATATGTGTAGGGCCCTTGATATGTTGATGGTCATCGGAGTTTTTATATGCATAACATTAGATTTTATATTTAAATATAAATATCAAATTGTACCCCTAAAATTTATGAATCTTTATAGAATTTGTCTAATCTAACTCAGAGGTATAAATATCTAGGTTGGAATTGGTTAAGGTCCTTAAGGATGGTATAAGTCTTAAATTAGTGGTTTTTTGTAAGATATTGCTAAAATTTATTGTAATATTCCAGTATTTGATGCTAAATGTTGATTAATTTTGACAGAATTTTTCTTGACCTTGTTTTCTGTTGCTGAAATTAGCTAAAATGAGTTGTATATGATGTATTTGTTTGCACTTTGCAATTAGTTTTTGACAGAATATTATTGACATCTGCTGTTGAAACTGTATATTTTATATTTTGTTGATATTTCTAGATTTGGTTGCATTCAGTTGCATTTTCAGTATAATTTATATATACATAGATTATCTACAACATATTCCTCTCTTCGATGAATCCTATGCTCCGGCTCACTCCCCAAGTGACAGTGGTGCCTCTGCGTACTTTTTGTCCTAACAACACTGATTTATCCATTTTTACATGTTACTAAATGTTGATATCTGTTTTTCAAATGTGTTTGATATTGAGACCGTATTTTTGTTAAGTAAGAAACATGACTTCATTAATAATAAAACATAAATATCAGGCGAGGAATCTAATTGTTAGGACAATAGAGCGGCTAACAAACATAAATTACAAGAATCTTCAAACAATATTAACCCTTAATCACGCACCATACTCCAATTTTGATGAATAACATGGAAAGAGAGATTCAAAAATTCTTTAGTGACCGAAGCCCGTTGAGACACGAGGAATTTCACTCTTATTCCATAAAGATTCCCAACACTCATTTTTACCCTCAAAGATGACCTAATTATCCTTCCATACTACCCTTCTTTTACGTTGACTAAAGATAAAGTTGATGGGTTTGATATCAATGAAGTTGTTACGGATTGGAGGACTTCTTTTGCAAAAGTGGGGCAGGTAGACGAGATCGGTAGTGATGATTATGAATACGCAGAGGATGACTCTGGAATGGCTGAAACTCTGATTGAGGTAGGTAATCCTTTTGATGAGAGTGAAGCTGGATCCAATGCAAAAGAACAGTCTAAACGTATTTCCAGTCTGGGGCTTTCTTTGTTAATTGCTTTTCTCCTTCTTTTACACACTGCTTGCATGAAAATCAACTTAGATTTAGGTCGTCAAATCAGGTGTAATAAAGGTGATATCTCTGGGAGGTTTTTTTTTCCTTTTCAGTCTTCTTTGCAATCTTATGACCTTGAGGGTGAATTTCTAGTGGATTATTTATGATTTGGGATTTGATAATTCACAGGGGAGGAACTCTGAAATTGGGTTGGGGAAGAAATTGTTATCTTCAATGATAAAATAGCCACTGAAGACAGATTGGATGATGGACATCTAGGAGCTGCTTGAGTTGAGTTAATTCATAAGGGTAGCCACAATATGCTTTCAAGAAATGAGGAGGGATAGTTGGTGATTACTTGTTTGATGAAGCTAGTACGGTTTTATTGAAGGATTTTTTTGGGCTACAATTGAGTTTAAGCTACTTGTTTGCCAGTATATGGAATGGTCTATTAGGGAATTCAATGCTGCCCAAATGTTTAAGGACTGATCTAAAGCTATTGTGGAAATCTTCTCTTAATCCAGTATATGGAATGGTCTATTAGGGAATTCAATGCTGCCCAAATGTTTAAGGACTGATCTAAAGCTATTGTGGAAATCTTCTCTTAATCAAGTAAGAGTTGAAGTTGAGCAGATGAAGTTTTACCTAATGTAAGAAAGCTAGTCAAATAACCCTTTAGTGCTTGAAGTAGTTTTTCTGTCCTGTAATTGTCTTTCTTTCCTTATTCTAGTACTTTTTTGCATGCATACTTAGGTGCATTAGCTAAACCAGGCTTGCTCTAGCTCCTATGTTCTGCTAGTCCAATAATTTTAAGAAGAATCAAGAGGATTGAATTGTGCCTCACTATTGCCATCTAAATATCTAATCAATGTGCATTTATGAACATTTGAAGGTGGATATAATGTTCTCTATGTATGCTTTGTGATTGTATGTGACTTGAATTGTGCCTTACTATTGCCATCTAAATATCTAATCAATGTGCATTTATGAACATTTGAAGGTGGATATAATGTTCTCTATGTATGCTTTGTGATTGTATGTGACTTGTTGCAAATTATCTATTTTAATAAAATTTCAAGTCATTGCATTGACTGTGTTGTATGTTCAAACAGGCTGGAACTTGGGAGGAGAAGAATTTAAACAAATGGGCGAGTGACAGAATTAAGGTTTGTATGTTGGAATAATAGTCAAGTATTTTTTTATTACGATAAGATTTTTCAGGTGGTTTTTGTGTTTATCCTTTTCTCATATCAAGGATAAAATAGTTGATGAACTCGCTTAGTGGTTACATGGAGTTCAACTGTTCATGTAGCTTAAATCTTTGTGCACTGTTTGGGTAAATATTGAAAGTGTGCTGCTTGATTTTATTCCTTCAGACATTGTTGTTTGTGGCTGTAATGTTACTATATGGTCCAAAAGATATAGAATATTCAGGCATATTCGTGAAACTATCTATGTATATGCCTGATTGTTTTCTATGTTTCTTTCTGAGATTAGTCTTGAATCACAGGAGTTGCTTCAATCTGTGGATTCCTTGGAGTTTTCGGGTGGCAGAGCTGATATTACAGAAGTATCGAAATGTGTGGGCGATGTAAGTGCTTGTGAAAGTTGTTGATATCTCTCATGACTCCATATCGGGCTTCTAAACCTCTTATGCATGAATAACATTTGTGGCATTGTCTAGTTTTTCCTTGTCTCCTATTCTTTCAAAGTTTGTTTGCCAGCACTCCCCAGGGTTTCATTGTTTCGAGTGCTCAATTGCACAGGATATTGTTGGAGACAAGAGAAAGAGGTGAATTGGTATGAAATATAAAAAGTATTGAAATGCTCTGGGACACCTCTGCCCGCCAAAAATATAGGGCCGAAATTATGTCTAGTGAAGTTAATAAGTTGTTAAATTATGAGATATTTGCTGTAGGTATCTTACATTAAAAGACTGCATCAGCTTTGTACTGCATGAAGATTGTTGTTTGTAATCATGCTTGTTTTTGTCGAAGCACCTTGTACTTGGTGTTTGTGGCAATCTATGTATCGATTTTTTTACATGACTTTCAGGGATTCATTAATTGTGACGTTTATTAATTGTGTACTCCTTACTTGGTGAAGGCTTTACAAGGGTTCAAGCGCCCTTCCCCTCCTCCCCCTCCCAAAAAAAAAAAAAAAAGTTAAAAAAAAAATAATAATAATTGTGTCGCACCATTGAGCTTGGTGCTGGATCATGTGATTGATGTCTGCACGGCTATTGCTGTGGTGCAACAGAATGGGCCTTGTCCCCAGTATATAGACTGCCTCCTCCTTGTTAGGACTCATGAATTTATGTAGTAATCATATAAGACATTAGACTACTTTTGAGGATTAAGGTTTTTTTTTGTGTGTGTGTGTGTGAGAGAGAGAGAGAGAGAGAGAGAGAGAGAGTCCCCTCAATCAGATATACGTCCCTTTTTTGTTTGGGACAGTTTGTTTTCAGTGGGATATTTCTGGTTTAATCATTTTCATCTCTTTTTGATAGTATTTGAATGTGATGTGCAGGCATTCTTGGTGACTGTACGGAAAAAGAAACGTGTTGGCTACACTTATGAGCTGACACTGAGAGTCAAAGGTAAGCTTTTGTCTAAAATGTATAGCTCCTTCAGTTCTCTATATTGTATCTTTTTTAAGTTGCTTCCTCGCCTTGCGAAAAAAATCATGTTCAGCTGTTGAATAAATTCTATGGAAACCAGGGGAATGGTTTATTGGTGAGGAGAAAAAGAAAATCAAGGGCTATATAGATCTGCCAGAGTTCTCGTTTGGGGAACTGGATGACTTGCAGGTACACAACATACTCCAGTTAAAAAAAAAAACCATTTTGAAAGAGCTTCGAAAAATGTTGTTGAGATTCCTGCTTAGATTCTTGATTGATGCAATGATGCCTCTCACTATCTGTTTTTGCATGGGGGGCACGAATATCCATAGAGGAAGATAAGTGATTTTTTTGTTAGTTCAAAATTTTCTTTGCATGGCATAAAATAAACAGAAATGACTGAATATATGCTGCATTCTATGTACGGGCATATTATTCGTGGAGGTGATAGGCAAGTTTACTTGGGCTGGATTAAGTTCACTACAATTTTTCTTGTTTTTCTTAATAACGTGTTTGGACCTCTAATAGCATCTGAGTGGTTTCAAAATGGTACCGCTGCACAAGTGCCATATACTATGTAAGTCCAGATCACCACGGAAATGCCTGATAACACTACCATTTTTGTGCACCAATATTACCCAATATCTATCTCATCAACATTACCACCACTATCTATTGCTATTTGACTCATCAGAACATCTTCTATCAACGACTGATTATGCTATTGTAACTAAACCTCATTTGCCGCCAATAAATGCCATGACATTCACGGAACCAAGTTGCAAAATTATTCTTTGCATACACTACCTAATTTTCCGATTATACTAGTTTTAATTATCTAGAGAGTGGAAAAAGTACCTACACAGAACCTACAAAATGATTAACCCACTCAGATGGTTAACTAATTTAAATTGATTTTTTATAAATAATACATGCATATATTATGTTACTTGAATTGCGGGGTGATTTGGTACGTGGTACTAAGTACGTTGTGTGAGGGGAGTAGGCTTAATTGATATGGTATTTTGGGTCGCAATTCCTTTTAGAATCTTTATCTCATTTTGAGTATTGTACGAAATTATATATAATAGTATCCATAATCACATTCAATTACAATTTTTTACCGTTGCTCTTGATTTCCTACTGTCTAAAATTGTATTTAGTTGTATATTCATACACACAAAGTTAATTAATATTTATTTTATTGTTGCTATATATGTGTTTCCAAAGCAAATCGATTTGGGATTGATATTACGATTTGGGGTCGAATATTTAGGTGATCTGAATTGCGAACCTACACTTTTCAGATTTGAGATCGTTGTACCCAGATCATGGGTTGTCAAGGGTGTAGCGATTTCTAGTAACTATGTGTATATACTCCCCATGTTTGGGCAATGGAATAAAAATGGTTTTGCTTTCATACTAGTGTTTAACTAAGAAGCAAATACACTTCATTTTGGCTAGAGACGTTTGGGACACGAACACGCTAAAATGAGTGTCTGGTATTTTTATTAATTTTTTTTCGGGCATGTTGGGGACACATGACCGACATGACATGCCTAAGACTCGTTAGGGACATGCTGTCGAAACGTTGGGTTCTCGTTTTGATTTTTTTTTTTTAAAATTTGTTTGAGAACTTTTTAGATAATTTTGTAATTAGGAGTTATTTTTGTAATTTTAAGGAAATGTGTCAAAGTCATAATATAAAAAGAGTTATAATCACTACATTGAACATAAGACATGAATGTAACATAATTTTGGATACGAATACAAACTAAATATAAATGGAATAAAATTTTAATATGAATGAAATGTGAGAAAAGATGAGGTTACAAAATTGGAGCTTTTTAAAATGAATAAAAATTGGTATGACAAAGTAGAATATTTTTGAAAATAAAAGTTTGTAGTAGTCATTGATTTTTGGATCATGGATGTTAATCTTGATTGTGTATCAGTATATCTTATATTCTATTTTTTATGTAGTGATATCATGGTGTGATTTTTTAGAATTAGGGGAAGGATAAATTAAAATATTATTATGATATTTTTTTTTATTTTAATCACATGATTATATATATATATATATATATATATATTATTTAATGTATCCCCAATGTGTCAGTGTCGTACTTATAAAAAACATTGTGTCGGTATGTCCATGTCGTGTCGTATCTATGCCCGTGCTTCTTTGGTGTATACAAATACATATGTTTCATTCAGCGAATTGTGGTGAGTCATTCTCTAATTTATTGGCTCCGTTACTAGTGTATGTCTGTCTGATTTGAGAAAGATAGTGAAGAAAAAAAGAAATGAATCCCAAATCTACTCTCTATCTTGGAAAGATAGAGAAACAACGTGATAGGGGTGTGGAAGTACACATGTATATGTTATGCCATTTTGAATAAGTTTATATATATTTATTGGTTTAAATAGCATCACTCTTGTTAAAAAAAAATAGAACCACTGATTTACAAATTGGGCTTGGTGAATTCTTTGGCCTAAAATTGCGTACCATGATTGTGTCATGCTTTCTTTACAATTATACAAGAGTGGTATATATTTACCGACGATGGCCTTGAGTTCAAGGGCAGAATATCATGGTATGGGCTGTTCAAATTGAAATGCACACAGATATATCCTCGCACATTAAATAGTGGACTTGAATGTAAGGAAAACAAATCAACCATCATTGCTGTTGCCCGCTTAACAAGTATTTTTTTGTGGCATTTGGTACATGATATATATTATGGAGCCATCAGACTACATGCCTCTTGGTCAGACCTATGGTCACTTTTGCCCAATACTGGGTCTTAAGGTTTGAACTCAATCTCAGGCCAACTGAAAAGGAATGGTTTAGCATTTTTTAACATATACTCCAGACTACCTTTTGGTGAGTGTATGCCAGTTTGCAAATCTGGATGTGGTCGTACGAATGGTATGTCCAATATGATGCATTGATAGCGAAAGTCTGATCTGTTACTTACGCCAAAATTTTGTCGGAGTATGCTTTTAGAATGAGTGTGGAAGGTTACACCATACTGACCAGATCATTTATCACTTTATTGGCATCCGGGCAATTTGTGTTTATATTATTAGAGTTAACCTGACTTTTCGATGGTCACTATTTATACCTGCTATACCAGAAACTACTTAAACCTTTTAATCACTACAAACTGAATGCATTTATTTATGGGTGACTCAAGATTACTCTCATATTGACCAATACTTTGTTCGTCCTAAATAATTTTGTTAATTCCTTGCAATAAACCACGGCATGGTGTTAATTTGTGTGTCATACATGGTAATTTGATTGCAATCTGAAGTTAATTTGTCTTTTACAATGTAGATTGATGTAAGACTTGGTGAAGAGGAGGATCTTCTGCATCAAGATAAGCTGCGAATCAGCAAGGATTTGAAGCTGTTTTTGCAGCCTGTGTGTGAAAAATTGCGTCAATTCGAACAGGAACTCAAAGAGAGGTAGAAAGAGTTTATGATTATTTCTAGAACTTTAATTGAATGTCGTCAGAATTTTTTAGTAGTGACTGCCTTGTGATACCGTACATTTTGGGGCGCATTTTTATGGACTGAATATTGGAGATGTTGGCGAAAATCTTGTGTTTTGAGACCTGTGTTCTTCATTAACATGAAACCAGTGTACTCGGTACTTTTATTTTGTTTGACCCGAGTTGCCTCTGTTGAGAATTGACATGAGTTCTGCTGTGGTTTCCAACCTTTCATGATGATTTGGTTTCACTTGATTAATGTGGAAAGTTTCTGACTCATTGTATCCTCTCTCTGGCTTAGTATGTCTGAACTGTTCTCAGTGTATGGTATTTTTGTAACGCCCCAAAAACTCCCTTGGGTGATATTACATTCTAAAAACCATTTACCCCATGAGAGCATTACGTAAATTCATCACGACGAAAGTTCATTCATCAACCATTCATATTTTAACAAAATTTAGGCAGAGTCTCCTTTGTACGGGGAGCTTTACCCAAAACACAACCTGTACAATTATATTACAATTGACCACACCGGGTCCACATATGCATAACTATTGACCACACCGGGTCTATTTATCCATCATAAAATAAACTTTCATTCATCATATGCCATATCCACAATGCCATCCCAAAAGAATAGGCCAAGTATGACAAATATATTCCCAAAAGAATTAAATTACACTTGCAGTGAAATAACAAAATACTAGACTTTACATGATTTCAAAATAAACTCTCTAGTCTAGTACAAAAGAAATATAACTCTAGGCATCCAGTTTAGGACCCCCGTTCCCCTCTAGGGGAGTTTCCCCATGCATTGGTTCATCTACTTGTAACTCCTCTTCATAGACGAAATTTGAAAAGATATTATTTGTAGGGGATGAGCACTAAGCTCTGTAGCAACATTCCTTCCATACTCATACAAGGTTTAGAAAACAAGTAAAACAGTTCGGTCTTATTTTCCAAAATATCATATAACATTTGAAGTAAAACCGTGACATTTGAAACAGATCTCAAGTTTAAATAACAATAGTAATAGAAAGGAGCAATTTCAACTAAGTGCTAATAAACATCCATTACCAAAATATAAATCATTTCCCACACATGATATCATATTGTCCTCTCTAATGGGAGCATCCTTACAAGGAACCTCTCACCCTCAAGATTTGGTTTCTCAAGCATCCTTACAAGGAACCTCTTGAGAAAATCATATACTGTCCTCTTTTGGTGTGAGCATCCTTACAAGGAACCTCTCACCCTCAAGATTTGGTTTCTCAAGCATCCTTACAAGGAACCTCTTGAGATGGAATGAGCATCCTTACAAGGAACCTCTCATCCATGTTCATTCCAACAATCATACAAGATCACATCATCCCAACAATCATCACACATAACCAAGGATTCCATAAATCTCCAATTTACAAGCAAATTTCCAAAGATCCACAAATCCATTATGAGGCAATTTCAATAAACAATTAGGAAAATACAAGAGATCACCACCACATCATTTTCATTACTCACACAAAGCACTAAAGTTCTCAAAACCAAGCTTGAGCAAATGTAGAAAGAGAATTCCATATTTCCCCCAAAACTAGGGTTTTAAAGCTATAAAAGAAGTTTCATGGGTAATCAATCCTAACTTTGTTTAAGACATGCCATAATTGCAAGAAAACCAAGAAACAAGGAATTCCTAGCAAATACATACAAGTATGAGTCAAAACATATATATATTTTAGTCTTAGCCTCAATGGACAAGCATGGAAGAAAAACCCCTACCTTGAATCAAAGTTTCAAACCACAAACCCAAGCTCTAATGACCTCCTTTCTCCCTTTCCTCCTTTCCTCTATCTTCCCCAAGGGTGCTAAGGGGTTTGGGGGTGAGAGATGTGAGAAAAAATGGAAGGAAATGGGCTGGTTTATGTGTTTTAAACACAGCAGTCCGCGACATCACTGTTCATGGGCTGAATTTTGAGTTTTTTTCTAAAATTACAGTTTTGCCACTAGAAATCTCCAATTTGATCCATACGACTACCCTAAGGTTTTTCGACGTTCCGGATTCATTTTTAATGTTATTTTAACCTAAAAACATTGCTTTTTATGATTTATTTCAAAACTAAAATAAATTCACACTTGGAACATTAAAATTTCTATTTTATTCCTTCGAACTACTATAGGTAATATCCTTACAATTTTAATATATATATATGGTTTATTCTTAAGTCATTACATATAGAAGAATCACTAAACAAGTACATTAATATATTAATGTAAACATATGGGGTTTTACACCTTTAAGGTCTAATAAGAAAGCACAACCCTTTACTATCCAAGGAGCACCATAGTGCAGATTTTTGGTCAACTTCATAGAATAAACTGATTTGACTCAGGTATTTCTAGGAGGTGTAACCTATATGGTTGGAAAGATATACGAGTTAGGGTTCTAACAAAAATAACGGTGCACAATTCGGACTTTCCAATAAAGAGTTATGATGAAATTAGCGAAAGGTAGTCTGCCGGACAGATTTTTGGACAGAGTAGACACTACTTCGTAATATGGACATAACTCCTTCCTCCTAGTTCCGATTGAGATGATTCAAGGTGCTATGGAATCCTAAGAGAGAGATCTACAAATTTCATGTTTTAAGTTTTGAGAGATATAGACTGCATCAAGGTCGAAATCGAGCTTGATGTTACAGCCAGTGCACTGTTCATCCCTTTTTCATTCTACCAAATTCAAACACACATCACTACACATATCCCCATTTTTACAACAATTATTTACTATATATCTATATACATATATAAAAGAAAATGCGGGGTGTTACAATCCACCCCCCTTAAAAAAAGTTTCGTCCTCGAAACTTACCTCAAGTAGCGAACAAATATGGGTACTTCTCTCGCATTTCTAGCTCCGGTTCCCATGTAGCTTCTTCCACTCCATGGTGTTGCCACAAGACTTTCACCAATTTGATGACTTTGTTGCGAAGCACTTTCTCCTTGGCGTCGAGAATCTTCACTGGTTGTTCTTCATAGGTTGCTCCATCTTGAATTTCAATATCTTCTAAGTCTACAACCGGCGTTGCATCCGATTTACTCTTCCTCAACATGGACACATGGAATACGTTGTGTACTCCCGATAACTGAGCTGGTAACCGCAACTGATATGCCGTCTTGCCCACCACTTTGATCACTTCAAATGGCCCGGTATACCTTGGCGCTAACTTTCCCTTCTTGCCGAATCTAAATATTCCTTTCTGGGGCGACACTTTGAGAAACACATAGTCCCCCTCTTTGAATTCTAATGGTCTTCGTCTTTGATCCGCGTAACTTTTCTGTCTACTCTGTGCTGTGCGTAGTCTCTCCCGGATGAGTTGAATTTTCTCTGTAGTCTCTCGAACAATTTCTGGCCCAAACAAACTACTCTCGCCCGCTTCTAACCAACACGTCGGGGATCTACATGGTCTTCCATACAAGGCCTCATAGGGTGCCATTCCAATACTGGTCTGATAGCTGTTGTTGTATGCAAATTCCACCAACGGTAAATGGTCACTCCAACTTCCCTTGAAGTCCAACGCGCAAGCTCGTAACATGTCTTCCACGATTTGTATCACCCTCTCGGATTGGCCAGCCGTTTGGGGATGAAAGGCTGTGCTGAAATGTAACTCTGTCCCCATAGCTTGTTGTAGACTTTGCCAAAATCGCGCCACAAACCGAGAATCACGATCCGACACAATGGAGAGCGGAACTCCGTGCAACCTAACAATCTCACAGATATAGAGCTTGCTCAGCGTCTCTAATGAGTCTGTGGTCTTCATACCCAAGAAATGAGCGGACTTGGTGAGTCTATCCACAATGACCCACACTGCATTATGCCTGCGCGACGTCCGTGGTAAACCCGACACGAAGTCCATGGTGATGTGATCCCACTTCCACTCTGGAATAGGCAAAGACTGTAGGACTCCTCCTGGCCTTTGATGCTCAATCTTCACCTGCTGGCACACCGCACATTTTGCCACATACTTGGCTACATCTCGCTTCATTCCCCTCCACCAGTATTGACGCTTCATGTCCCTATACATCTTTGTGCTACCGGGGTGGATAGCAAACTTGGAGCGATGACACTCCCCAAGTATCTCCTCCTTTAGGGACGAATCATCGGGAACACATAGCTTCTCCCCATATCTCAACTCTCCATTCTTCCAAGACCATCCTCCCATCGCTTCCCCATTCTCCAATCGGGCTCTAATCAAATCGAGTTCCGAATCCAGGCATTGCAACTCCATAACCCGTTGTCGAAGCGTCGGTTGAGCTACAAGGTTGAATAGATATGATTGATACTCCGGTCCATCCACCCATAGATCGTACTCCTCCAATGCATCAATCATTTTCCACCTATTTACCGCAAGAGAATTGATTTCACCCCGAGACTTCCTGCTAAGAGCGTCAGCAACTACATTGGCCTTCCCTGGATGGTAGTTGAGTGTGAACTCATAATCTTCCAAGTACTCAATCCACCTTCTCTGCCGGAGATTCAAGTCTTTCTGTGTGAAGATATACTTGAGGCTTTTATGGTCCGAAAACACTTGAAATTTCTCCCCGTATAAATAACATCTCCACAACTTAAGAGCAAACACCACTGCAGCCAGCTCCAAGTCGTGTGTGGGATAATTCTGCTCGTGCACCTTGAGTTGCCTCGAGCCATAAGCCACTACCTTCCCTCCTTGCATTAGAACGCATCCCAATCCTCGTAGTGAAGCATCGGTGTAGACATCGTAGCCTTCCCCACTACTCGGAATAATGAGGATAGGGGCAGTCGTCAACTTCTCCTTCAAGGTGCGAAAAGCTAGTTCACACGCTTGAGTCCACAAAAATTTCTCCCCCTTCTTTGTAAGGCGAGTCATCGGCATCGCAATCTTGGAGAACCCTTCCACAAACCTACGATAATAGCCGGCTAACCCCAAGAAACTCCGTACTTCTGTCA